CACCACTTGGAAAAATGCAACGGCCTACCCAAAAGAGGCCTAGACCATGAAAAAGACGAAAAATAGGCCTCTAGGCCCTCGAATTTAAGTAAAGGCTGCATTTTAGGAAGTGGTACCCCAAAAGGCAGCTCTTTTTGAAATAAAGAGAGATCGGGGTAGGCCAAGGGGTAGTCCGAGAGGGTGGTACCCTCTCGGACTGCATGTACCTGGCCAAAATAAGGCCCAGGTACCTTCAGATGGGCCAAAACCGAAAATTTGGCCTTGGGGGCACCTCGGCCACCTAGGGGCACTTGGAGAGGCCTAGGGGTGGGGCGGTGCACCAGTTTCAGCCTACATAAGTTGGAGGTGCAGGCCGCGACTCCCACTTGAGCATGAGAGGAACCCATGCTGCCAAAATGAGTCCGTGAGAGAATGCTAGTGGAATAGAGCAAGGAAGTGAGAGTCTGAGCTAGCCTAGAGCCTGGCTATGGGGATAGGACTAAGGGAGAAGGCCAAGAGGCTAGAGAGAAGCAAGGGAAGTGATCCGCCATAGCCCCCAGGCTGTGAGGTGGAAAGAGAGGTTAAAAGGGGTCCCCATAACCCTTCTACAAAGAAGGACTCCATAGCCTTAGAGGTAGGAGCCTGCCATAACTTGAGAGGAGGAATGAGAGGAGGAGGAGAGAGACTTGGGAGTTGGGGAAGACATACCCAAGGGGCTGAGGGCCAATCTTGGGACTCCACTGCACAGGGACCGACAAGAGGTGAGTGGGAAGGGTGAGAGTTTCCCCTCCTTCTTCCTCCTTTCTCCCTCTCCTTCTTCTTTTTCTTCTTCTTCTCTTCCCCCTCCTCCCTCTTCTCCCTCTTCTTCTTGCTTCTCCTCTTCTTCCTTTCTTTCCCCGCCTGATCCTACCCCTCCTCCCCCTCTTCATCTCCACCTTCCTCATCCTTTTCCTCCCTCAAAAACTGTGAGTTTTACTGATTTTGATGCTTGTACATGTTGTGCTTAATCTTGAGATACTTCGGTGATCATTCCCCTAGTGTAGATGTCATCAATCTTGTCAAATTGCTGAATTTGATGCTTGTACATGTTGCGATTCATCTTGGGATACTTCGGTGATCTTTCCCCAAGTGTAGATGCTTTAAATCTTGTGTTTTCACTGATTTGAGTGGTTGGGTGTGCTGCGATTCTTCTTGAATACTTCCATGATGTTTCCCCTAGTGTAGATGCTTTAAATCTTGTATTTTCACTAATTTTAGTGGTTGGGTGTGTTGCGATTTATCTTGGGATACTTCGGTGATCTTTCCCCTAGTGTAGATGATTCAAATCTTGTCATTTTGCTGATTTGGGTGCCTATGTGTGTTGCGCTTCATCCTAGGATACTTCGGTGATCATTCCCCTAGTGTAGATGTCATCAGTCTTCTCAAATTGTTGAATTTGATGCTTGTACATATTGCGAATCATCTCGGGATACTTCGGTGATCTTTCCCCTAGTGTAGATGCTTCAAATCTT